GGTAGCAAACAGGTAACCAATGTAGCTCACGAAGCCAAGGCGTGATATGGCACGATTTGGGGGCGCAATTAATTAAGCGAGCACTAGCATTTTGAACACGCAGTGACTTAGATAGCTGATATTTTGGCAAACCACACAATAGATTATTACAGTAGTCTACTCTAATAGTAACAAATGCTATTTGTTTAGGTCTCTTGTCGCTGTGTCAATAGTAAAAAATAGAAATAGGGAGTTTAAACTTCGGTAAAAAAAAGCATATATATTTGAACTCACACCCACTGACCTCGGTCGTTTTGCTGATGCGGCGTCCTCACACACAGTTGACTGCTTTTTTCCTTTCGCTTTTGTTTTATGAACTTGCAGCTTGCGTTGCAAATGATAACCAGCCCTGAGAATTTAAAGACAATTTAACCTGCGAAAAACGCTTTGTGATTAATGCAACCAACGGGAACATAAATTCTTGCTTTGAATTGTAAAATAGCACTATTTTCAACTTTTTGTCTAGAAAATAAGTTGCAGTCACTTAATTTGTTCTAAATTTCAAGGGAAACTAAGGCTGCATTCATTATTTATATTGCAGGAAGGAGGCAGAGGATATTTTTTAAAAGGGGCAAAATTTTTTACTGTCCCCCCCCACACCACATCATACAGAATTTTTTTACAACCCCCCTCTTGACCAAAGAAAAAATGACAACCCTCCCGCCACTCAGTCTTGACGAGGAAAGTAAACTACAGGCATTATGATGAAATGGTGCGAGATTAATGTTTGTGAAAATAGAAAACTAAAAACAAAAGCTAAACAAATGTTCAAAGATTTTTGTATTTCTGGTGTAAAGAAAGTTGTAAGACTTGTAAGAGATTATTAAAGCTAGCTGTGCCTCTCACTGAGAAATTGCATACCGGGGCGATGTGGCAGCTTAGATTCAATACGAAAATGCAGTCATCCCTAAATAGGTTAAATTTGGGACCTAGACAAACAAAGAACAAGCCCAAGTGAAAAGAAAACAAACGGAGAAAAAAAAAAAACCAACAAAAAGACAGCTGAAAAGCCGTACAACTAGTGCTAAAAGATGTTGAATGGCCTGATTAGTTAAGCATGAAATGAAAAGAAAAGGGAATTGCAAGTCATGATCAGCCTACCTCTGAAGAAAGGTCCACATACTTTACATTCAGTGAAATACAAATCTCTCCAAAAGAGGAGATAGAAGTTAATTCACTATTTTTAATTATTAAGGCCAAATTAACAGCTACGACATTCCAACAACAGGAGAAAAAAATGAATATAAAATTTGTTATGCATCGGGTCAAAATTTACCTAAATGGTCTATTTTCCTTTTACCAGGGAATTCTACGGACTATGAAAATGAGTTTTTACAAAAGAAAAATATCCTGAGTACTGTGCCACTTTGTCTACTCCACAGAAAGATTCAGCAAGTTCAGTACTGAAAACTATGTGGTCTTTTAACTTAAACAAGCATATAATTTTCTCAACCATCTACCGATTGTGGCTTTTTAGAAGGAAACCTTTCTACAGACGTTGTATTCCTCGTTCGATTTCCATAATAAATGACACGGCAATAGTAAGAAATTTGTATCCTAAGAAATTCCACCCATGATCTAAATCAAAGAAGCTTTCTTAACATTTGCCGCGAACTTGATGGGAATTTGCATATGATCACTTTTAATTAAAGAACCGTGCTTGACCTGCAGTCAAGTATCTCATTCTGATTGCAGCATACTACTGCAGAGCCAACATACCAAATATTACTGATCATTTACATTCCTTCTAAGCTGTGAAAGTTGATTTAGATCTTGCTGGCATAGAAGCTGAAGACTTAATCATAACTTTAAAAGCTTTGAAAGCGAGAAAGGTGGGTTAATGTTGATGATGGTGATGATGATGATAATGATAATGATAATGATGACAATGATGATGGTGATAATGAGAATAAAAACAGTCTGTGACGTTATTAATAAAAGCAGGATAAAAGTAACGGTGGTAATGATTATGTAGATAGAGCTGGTTACTGCACTGAAGTATAGGACATTGAATTTAGTGCATTAATAATAAAAGCATCCTTCACTGAACTAGAAAATAAGGAACTTCACTTGTGTAGTGGTTTATCAATAATGTTACAAATACTTTATCTTTCGATGGCATCTCAAAAAATTGGCATCCCTCCTTCCTACCTTCAGAAATTTTACCATGCCCCCCTTTTCCCTTCAAAAACTTTTAAGACCACCCCCGAAAAAAATCTTCTGCCCCCTGCGGTATACATAATGAATGCAGCCTAAGTAGAGCATTTGTATCTTTCACATATTTAATTTGACGCAAATGTGGCTTTTATGAACTTCCGTAGAGGGAACAAATCCAAATGCTATTTGTTTAGGTCTCTTGTCGCTTTGTCAGTACTAAAAAAATAGAAATAGGGATTTTAAACTTCGGTAAAAAAAAAAACATATATATTTGAACTCACACCCACAGATCTCGGTCGTTTTGCTGATGCGGCGTCCTCACACACCGTTGATTGCTTTTTCCCTTTCGCTTTTGTTTTCTGAACTTGCAGCTTGCGTTGCAATCGATAACCAGCCCTGAGAATTCAAAGACAATTTAACCTACGAAAAACGCTTTGTGATTAATGTAACCAACGGGAACATAAATTCTAGCTTTGAATTGTAAAATAAGACTTTTTTCAACTTTTTGTCTAGGAAAATAAGTTGTAGTCACATAATTTGAACTAAATATGAAAGGAAACTAAGTAGAGTATTTGCATCTTTCACATATTTAATTTGACGCAAATGTGGCTTTTATGAACTTCCGTAGAGGGATGAAATCAAAATGCTATTTAACCTACCAAAAATGCTTTGTGATTAATGTAGACAACGAGAACATTAATTCTTGCTTTCAATGGTAAAATACGACTATTTTCAACTTTTTGCCTAGAAAATAAGTTGTAGACACAAAATTTGAACTTACTACAAAGGAAACTAAGTAGAGCATTTGCATCTTTCACATATTTAATGTAGCGCAAATAAGACTATTTTCAACTGTTTGTCTAGAAAATAAGTTGTAGTCACAAAATTTGAGCTAACTTTCAAAGGAAACTAAGTAGAGCATTTGCATCTTTCACATATTTAATTTAACGCAAATATGGTCGGTCTTATAAGCTTCCATAGAGGAAACAAAACCAAATGCCGCTTTTTAGGCCTCATTTGATTGTCGCTGCGTAAATAGAAGTAAGAAGTTTAAATTTCAGTGAAAAAACATATACTTGAACTCATACCCACTGACCTCGATCGTTTTACTTATGTAGCGTCCTCACACACCGTTGACTGCTTTTTTCCTTTCGCTTTTGTTTTCTAAATTTGTTGCTTGCGTTGCAAACGATAACCATGAATCTAAAGATAATTTAACCTACATTTATCCGCTTTGTGATTAATGTAAACAACAGGGACATAAACAGTCATGACGCAAAAATTGTTAATCGTACTTCCATCCAATAGCATCTTCTCCGAAACTAGCTTCTTCGTGGTAGAGAAGTAATTTAAATACATAATTTTTACGGGAATTCCATAACTGGCGCAATTGTCAATCATTGTTCTTTTTCTATAAAAGTCAAAATAAGGTCACTGCGCTCCCCTCAATTACCTAAACCAATGAAATATTTCCTTCTCGTTTATATAGTCTTTTACCAGGCGGGCAGGTGGTGTGTCAAGACATTTTGTATAGGTTTAAACGGCTACGACGTTTTTATTCCCCTTTCCTCTCAGAACTTTTTTTTTTAAGAAACAAATACATTTATAATTTTTGATTAAAGTTGTTAGGTTTTGCAAATATTCTTCTTTGTCGCGCGCTGTTTCAGGACACTTTTTACATAAAGCATAATGGGTCCGAAATGTCACCACCATGTAGAATTTTCTATTTTTTAAGACGACCATTAAGTTTCGATGACAGTCTCCTCTTTGTTTTCCCATTTTTGTCATAATAGCGAGGACAAATTGAAAAAAGGGAACAAAACATTACGTGTGTGATTGTAAGGAAAAATAGGACCACCTGCGAAAAATAGACCGCTTTTATACAAGACTTGAAACAGGGACGATAAAAAAAAATTACATGAAGATAACTTGTGGAGTTCTTACATAAGGAGGTTAAAGTTTGAATTTGCACACAGTGTTTCCAGACTAAACTATTCTTTTTAATCATATTGGAACCTGGAAGAAGATTTATACCAAAATGAATGTAACTTTCACAACGGTATTGCTCTACCACAATTTAAAACTCTGGACAGTGGACACGACCTCCGTCGAACTTGCTTGCGAACTTGCGTGAAGAGAGTTTATATCTTTCAAACTTAGAGTAAGTCCACCATTTACTTTTGAAAGTCAAAATAACGCTGTTTTTAAATTCTTTTCAATGTAACAATGGTTGACAATATCAACACAAAGTTCAAGTCCAAAACTCAGTAATGACAGTCCTGTGAATACAGAAATGAAGAAACCTTTATTTCAATAGGGTAACTCCTTCAGTTCTTGTACAAGATAAAAACTTTTATCCATATAGGCCCTATATTATAAACTAAATTGAATAGAAATAATAGTCATAATTAAGAGCAAATAAAAATAGCTATAAAATGTTGTAACTTAAAAATTAAGAATTACTAGAAAAATCATAAAAATCCGGGGGCGGATCCAGGGTTTTTTCAAAGAGGGGGTTGTAAGTATGAGATTTCAAGGCAAACGTCCTGGGACTAAAGGAGTGGGGGAGAGGAATGGGGAGGGGGAGGGTAATGTTTGAATATGTAGATTTTCTTCATCTGATTTCAGAGGTATAAATTTGTCAAATGTGAGACACTATTATGGACTAAGAGTAGAGTGCAACAACGATGGTTGTTTGTCTCTTTCTTTCCCCAGCTATTCCATCAAACAGACTAGCTTGCAAGAGCTTTCTTGGATGAGCCTTTACCTCGTCTACCTCTACCTCGAATCTCTCGGAGTAGTACATGGCGATCACTGCGAGATCAGAGAAACGCTCTTCAGAGCAGGTCTTGATTCATTTCATCAGTAAAAACGATCGCTCAGCTTCTGCGATTGTGATCGGTAGGCAGGATTCTATCTAGGATTTATCATTTGGGGGAGAAGTCCTGAGTGGCCGAAGGCGACAAGCCTCCTAGAGGGGTCCGCCCCCCCCCCGGATGAAATCTGGTGCATTTTGAGACAATTTTGAGAAGCTTTATAGTGTGTGCACTAACCTCGCCGCGTCTTGATGATTTTTTCGATATAGTTACTTATATAATGTAATGATAACAATATTTTTTGGGGGGGAGGCTGGGCATTTTGGGGGGGAAGCTTTTACCCTTCAAATACCCTAGATAGAACCCTGGTAGGGTGCAGGCAATGGCCAGAAGACGATGGATGTTTGGGAAAGCATCTTCATCGCAAGCGTCAAGTGCTAGTAAAAGATTGTTTGGAAGCTCCCTATCTGTTGACTGCCGGAGTGTTTTCCATCTGCCTACCACATTTCCAAGGGATTTGGGAAATGTAATGTCTTTCTCCCAGAACAGCATGCCTTCTACTTTATCATCCAGCCGTAGTGACTTATTTACTATAATCGATGGCACTAGACAAAGCAGATGGCGGGCGTGGCTATCTTCGTTAAAAATCAATCTTGCATTTGGATAATTCAGGCATCAAGGAGAGGAATAAACTTCTTGTACTGATTGATTGGACTGGAACTTATATTATAACTCATAATATTATTTTTGGTATGAAAAAGGGATAGACATGGGTAGCCAGGCAAGTTCGAAAACTTCCCAAAGGGGGCATTGCAACCCTCCCCTTCCCCCCCCACCCTGGATCCGCCTCTGAAATCTAAATCTGATTAAAAAATACAAAACCATAAATTTAAAAAAAGCTTTTTTTCGTGCATTCTAACTTTATAGACGGGAGTCTAAGTTCACCACTGCTCCTTTTTCTTCTGGGTAATACATCCTTGTTATAATTAAAATAGTACATGCAGAACTGCGGCCAACAGTTACTTAAGCATCTCTTAACTAGATTGCGTACATGGCTCTCACGCCTTTTCTCCAGAGTTACATAACCTAAGAAATCTAGCACTTTTTCGCTGCTCCCCAGACGCATAACAATACGTGCTGCGCGCCTCTGCAACTTCTCCAGCTTATCAGCGTTAACGCTCCTGCAGCAGCTCCACACAGCATCGCAGTTTTATCAAGAAGAGGAAGAACAAAAGACGTATAAACGGTACCTGCCGTGTACTAGTTTATGTTTTTCCTAATTCGGCCTAACATTGCTAATCTCTTCCTAACCTTACCGGTAAAGTACTCAACGTGCACATTCCACGTAAGCGACGCATCGACAACAACCCCAAGATAGTTATACCAAGAAGCGCGATTAAGTGCTTTTCCGTCAAAGATACAGAAAAAGAAGTAAAAAGTGCTAGCCTGGGGCCAGTGCCAAATAACATGCTCTCCTTTTTGCCCTTATGCATAAACAAGTTATTATCTATGAGCCATTTATTTAACAGTGCCAATTCATTTGTCAAGGTGTGCGCTATTACTTGAGAATCGGTAGTGCTAAAATAAATAACCGTGTAGTTAGCATACATAAAAATTTAACGTTTAGTTAAGATTTTAAAAAACCTTTGGGAGATCGTTTATAACCAAAAAAACAGTAAGGGACCCAAAATTGATCCTTGGGGAACCCCAGAAGTAATTGGGCAATAATCAGGTCTCTTTGCCAACGCTAACAACTTGCTTGCGATCAGATAAATAGCTTTTGAACCAATTCAGTTCAGTGTTCTTAAGTCCATACGACTCTAGCTTGTTTATCAATAGATTGTGATCGACAGAATCAAACGCTTTACGCAAGACAATAAACAGCGCCAGTAGTAAACCTTGTTCCATACCACGTCGAATGAAATCAGAGAAGGCAACGGCAGCAAATTCAGTGGTGTGATTTGATCTAAATTCACACTGTAAAGGACTAAGTAACTAAATAATACTGACAATAACACTTAGAATTACAGAAACTAAGCCAAATGTAAACAAAAGACACCATTCTGGATTCCGTAAATTACAGCCTTCATGGCTAACTCCATTGGAAGAAAGAAAACTGGACGCAATTTTAAAGAACATTTTGCATTTTGAAGTGTAGAAAACATCGTTGGAGTTGCGATATGAAACGTTCCTGAAATGTGGATTTTTAACTACCAATCAAACATTTATTTAAATTTTTAAATATTTCTTGAAATTTTTCATGAAAATAAAAATATAGCAAAATAAAGGAATTTGATAAATTTATGGGACTTTAGAGGAAAGGCCTCAAAAAATAGGATTTTATGGGAATATAGGACCGGACTCGCTTGACACCATGTTATTAGCGCGTTTATACTTTGTGTGAAAGCGAAATTGTATTGAGCGAAGGGCCTGTAGAACGAAGAATATTCATGTCTTATTTCTTGCTCTTAGTTGATGCTTAAGTACAAGATAACACCAACAGACGAATCGACGGGCCTCGTTTCCATTTACACCAATGGTAACGACCCTCAGGGCGCCATTACATGTCGTTGGGGGACCTAAGCCGCTGTTGGCATGATTCGTATCCGTTTGTTTATATTGGACATGAAAAGCATGGAGGCCTGCATGCAGGGAATAAAAATTCATATACATTATAACTCTAAATTTACCCTAAAAATGAACACAAGAAACATTGTAATACAAAGCGTTGGTTCCATCCAGTTGTTCAAGGCAACGTGTTTACTTAGTTATGTTAAAAGAATATGATAAACATGATAAAGTTATAATACACTTAATTCTACCACTGACACATATTTTGACCAAGGGAGTTATTTATCCCTCAGGAGAGGGGAATGCATGAATGCTGCCATCGGGGCACCATCTCTGATCAGACCTTTGTCAAACGCTTAGTCTTGGACTACCATGGAAGCATGAAAATAAACCACTACATCCATACATGTACACAATCAAGAGGCCCAAATCAGAAGGAAAGCAGTGTTCAATCTAGAAATTATGGAAAGTGGGTCAAATGTCCCACGTGACATTTTAAATTGGGTCATTTCAAAAATGGTCTGGGTCAAATTATTATGATAATAATAAACTTCGAAAAACTGGCAATATCCCTATTATGCTATACACTACCAGTATATTTTTACAACTTTTTAGCATTTTAAGTCAGTTTCAACGTTTTCGAATTTTTTATCCCTATTATAGTTTTTATGCTTTTCACAGTTTTGATTTGCTTATTGCAGTAACTGGAAACAGTCAAATAATTGTAAAGCCGAAAAAGACCAATCATGAATTAACGTAGACACAAGAACACACCCTGAACAAAGTCAACGAACGAAGCGTGAATCGATCGGCAACGTCGGCAACGTTGCAGAACGTCGTAGTAGCGTCCAGTCTCTCTCGGAATTGGAACGCCTGACACAAAAAGTACTAGTACAAACGTAGTCTGAAACACCAGTCATTTCGCGATTTCGCGCGTTCATATAAGGCTAGTAAGCACACATATTTGTTTTTAAATTTACTTTTATTATTGCCTTTTTTTTGCGTCCGTATGACCCCACGATCATTTCATTTTGCGTCAGAATAGAATATTCTGCGTAAATGACACAAAAACGCGGCCTAGATTGAACACTGAGGAAAGTAAGGCAAATATCACTCAATAAAGAATAAACACTGAATACGGAGCACTATTTTTTTGTTCGCTCAACCCATTCTTTGATAATACAAAATAATAGCTAACAATAATATTTTTAAATTCTCTCCTTGAGACATATAGTTATGTATGTATTTTAAACTTTTTTAGGTTTATTCTGTGACCTCACAGTCAATATTAACTATTAATCTACTACCATTTAATAGTCCACTTATCATTTCGTTCCTGACTCTCTTAAAGTAGCAATGAGCTAACCTGGTCTAACCTAGAATGGGTTAACTCTGAATTTAGTGTATACAAAGACTAACAATATTACTACAATAAATTTAAATCTGTTAATTTAAGACTGATAACTCGGCCCTTGTGACACATTCTAAACCCAATTAGCAGCAGTCAAACAGTCACAAAAAATATTGTTAAGAAGTCTATAAGTTGATTCCTGTTAATAAGGACTCTGAGGGGACCGCAGAAAGAGCCTGTACTAATGGGATGCTCATATTAATAGGTAATGTTAGTCTATTTAACAGGACCCAGACACAAAAGAAATAAAACAGGACATTAGCAATGTCAAGTTTACGATCTCTCACTTACACAAAGCTACTATTCCATGGGCTATGTCTGTAGACAGACTTTCAAAAGTCATTTTATCATTATTCGATCACAACAGATGACTAATATTTTACTAAAATAGTCAGAAATAGTGTCTAGACGACATCTTATTATGTCTACTGACTGTGGTGAGTGTGACCATCAACATGCTATTATCCGAAGGTTTTTACCTTCGGAAAAAGTAGGGCTTATTACAGCACTCAGCTAATGAAGAGGGGTACTTATTACTGAGATTAACTGTAGTGTTTTTGAGAATGTGTTATTGAACAATAAAATATTGTATGTACATGAGTATGGGTATCGTTAAAGAGGGGTTCGACTGCAATATAGGACACTTAATACAGTGAAGCATTCCTGAACTTTGTTAAGAGGCATAATTGCAAGGGTTGTATTAACCGACTCATTTTCGCTATATTGTTGTTTCTATGGAATCCACACAATTTTGATGGGAAATGCAAATCTTGTGCAAATTGACTGCTGTGAATGTTGAACAGCCAGTAGTTTGAGCAGGCCAGTCTATACCTCGCTAAAGCAGCTAATTCACCATTCCATACCACTGCGTTCATTTAAGACCTGAATAAGTGCTTAGGTGGCTGGAAGTCAAATGATGTGTAGAAGAGAAGATAACCAGCTGACGTCTGTAGAAATACAAAAATCACAATGTATGTTTGCTTAATATTAAAAAGTCAAATCACATCTAATGAGGAATTTTCTTCCTTTTCTTTTCTTTTTCTTTCCTAGTATTAGAGATGCTATTGAGAGATATTAAGCCATACATTATGTTTATAACCCATTCATTACATGTATACTTTGATCATATTCAAATGCTAATTTGCTCTTACGTAACTATTAACAAGACTGAGGTCCATACTCTATGAGTTATGGACTGAAGAATGAGATACTGCAAACTAACATTATCGTTCGTAGACTGCAAAACAGTCGGTTTTTTTCTCAAAATCAGTAAAGAAATCGGTAAAGCGTGGCGTAAGAGTCTTACACGCGCAAAGCGCGCAAGCCTCACACGCCCGTAGGGCGTGTGAGGCGAGAGAAGTATTTTTAGCATTTTTAGCGTCTCTCCCCAGTCTCGCTCTCTGTTTTAAGCCTCGTTCCAGACCTACTGTTTGACTGCTAGCGCGTACTTGAATACGCAAAAATACGGACTGTTTTGCAGTCTATATCGTCCGGGGAAGAGATTACCAACAATCTGTTAACACAATCATTATTCTCACATGCTAAATGCAATTTTTCTGCTATGCAAATACATCAGCAGTCTA